CTGAGATCCTGATTTCTCTTATCCAAGTTTCTATCTTTGTGATATTAGTATATTACTTGAATCTAAAGACTTTCTAGTAACTTTTTTTTTGTTTGTTTGTTTGTTTTTGGTAGCACAAGGCTGCTGATAATGAAATCTCTCAGCTTTTGTTTGTTTGAAAAAGTTCTTCTTTTGACTTAATTTTTCAAAGATGCTTCCAGGGATATAGAATTCTGGGTTGACAGTTCCCCACTCCATCCCTCAACCTCCTTGGTTCAAGCTTTTCTCCTGCCTCAGCCCCACAAATCCCTGGGACTACACATTGGTGCCAGCACACCTGGCTAATGTTTGTATTTTTGGTAGAGACAGGGTTTTGTCATCTTGCCCAGGCTGGTGTTGAACTTCTGAGCTCAGGCGATCCGCCTGACTGGGCCTCCCAAAGTGCTGGGATTACAGGTGTGAGCCACTGTGCCCGGCCCATTTTATTTCTTCAGCCTTTTTTTTTCTCTTGGATTTCTTGTACACGCGTTAAATTGTCTGACGTTCCTCAGCTCTTCAGTGCCCTTCTGTTTTTTTCTCTTTGCATTTTAGTTTTAGATAGCTTATATTGGCCTTTAAAATTACTCACCAGTTCTTCTTCCTTGTTGAGTATACTTATGTGCCAGTCTAAGGCATTTATCTATGGTACTATTTGTTTCTGGCATTTACACTGATGTTCTTGAAATTCCTGGTCTGTAGTACAACATTTCAGTCATCTCTGAATGTGCTTCTATTGATTTTTTTATCTCTCTTGATGATGGGTTCAGATTTCTCTAGTGCAAGACTTTTCAGCCTCAGTAATTTTGATGTTTTGGGCCAAATAATTTTTTGGGGCAAGAAGTGGCTTCTCTATGCGTGTCTGGTGCTGAGCAGCATCTCTGGTCTCTATCCACTGTTGTGACAGCCATAAATGTTTCATCTGTGCCCCAGGCTGCAAGGTCCACTTGCCCTCCCAGCCAGCCGTATTCAGCAAGACAGAAGGAGCCATGCAGGCCTGGCACCAAGGAGGCTTCTCCTGGTCCCCACCCTCCCCTATCTGGTGAACCAAGGAGAAGAGCGAGCAGTGGGGCCAGCTCCCTGAGGCTACCACTCTCAGGCTGAGTCCTGCTGTGGGCACTCATAGCTGCCTCGTGCCTTTCCTTTCTGGAGTGACTTTGTTTTCGTTGTTTTCCTGAGAGTTAATAATTGCCTCTTTATTTTTTGTTTTCTGTGTACTTGTTATCAACTCATTCCCAAGCTGATGGAATTGCACATTTTTGTATATTCAGACGTGTCAAGTTGCTGGAGCACACATTTTCTGTTTACTCTTGTCTTGGTGGTACATAATGTTTAGTTCATAAGACATGTTGTTCAGAATAACTGTTTTGAGCTTTTCAATTCTGAAATGTTCTCTGTCATGTAATGGACACCATGACTCTCCGGTTCTCCTCTCAGAGCTGCCTCCATCTTTTTTTTTTTTTTTTTTTTTTTTTTTGAGACTGAGTCTCACTCTGTTGCCCAGGGTGGAGTGGAGTGGCGTGATCTTTCCCCTGCCTCCTGGGTTCAAGTGATTCTTGTGACTCAGCCTTCCAAGTAGCTGGGATTGCAGGTGCTCACCACTATGCTCAGCTAATTTTTTTGCATTTTAGTAGAGACAGGGTTTCACCATGTTGGCCAGGCTGGTCTCACACTCCTGACCCACCTCGGGTGTACGTCAGTGAGTCATCACGCCCGGCCATCTCCCGTGTCTTTAATGTACTCATGCTGTGCTGCTCACAGCTCTGCTCCGCCTGCACACCTCTCTGCTCCACAGAGTCCCAGACGTGCTGGTTGCCTTTAGTCTCTGTCTTTCGTCTTAGCTCACCACGTGTGAGCCCTTTGCTGGACAATGTGGTCTTAGCAAGGAGACAGGGGTGCCAGGGCTCCTTGACTGCAGCAGTGCTGTTCCCACCGTTGGACTTTCTCTGCCCACACTTGCTTGGGCAGCATGGGGCAGACAGGGTGCCACTGGGCAGGAAGGGAGGGTCCCCATCTGCAGACCTTAGCTGCACTGCAGAATAGCTGGGACGAGACACAGGTGACCCAGACATGAAGGCTTTTGTATCTCATGCAGGAGCGGAGCCCATAATGGATCCTGGATCTGGTTTAAGCCATATCCATGGAAGAGGAAGGAGAGTAGGGTATTCCCACAGCTGATGAAAGTCCAGCCCAGGACAGCTCACACCCCCGTGCCCTAAAAAGCCCACCATGCAGAGCCTGTGGGCACTGGGTATTAGATGGTGCTGAGAAAGTGCTGCCTGTGTTCTGTGTGATCAAGGTTCTAAGGTTATATGAAGCATGATTTGTTAGCAATGTATGTGGAGTTATTTATGGCTAAAATGAGATCATTTTACCCCTGGGTACTTTTACAAATATTCTAGCACACTGCTCCAAGCACAAAAGGTTATAGGGGATGTCTTGAACAAGAATGGAAAATATTGGTAATTTTTTAAATAAGGCACAGGCACATGGAGATACATTTTTGTCTCTATTTTTGAAAGTTTTCTTTTTTCTTTTTTTTTTTTTTTTTTGTGGTGGTGTGATCTTGGGTCACTGCAACCTCTGCCTCCTAGGTTTGAGCAGTTCTCCTGCCTCAGCTTCCCAAGTAGCTGGGACTACAGCTGCATGCCACCACACTTGGCTTATTTTTGTATTTTTAGTAGAGACAAGTTTCACCATATGGGTCAGGCTGGTCTTGAACTCTTGACCTTGTGATTCTCCCGCCTTGGCCTCCCAAAGTGCTGGGATTACAGGCATGAGCCACCACGCCCGGCCTGAAAGTTTTCTTAATAGAATATTTAATAAAACAGTGAGACACTAAAAAACAACAAACCCTTTTGTGGCACCTGGCCACGCTGGGACGTCACCTGAGGCTCCAGCTCGCCTGCTCCGTAGTTACAGCAGCTCAGCCCCTGTCTCTGGACCTGGCCCCACTCTTCAGCCTTTCCAGGGCTCTGCTGGCTCAGACCTGCCTGCAGACAAGCAGGTTTGGGTTGTCTACTTTGCCAAGTCAGTGCCTGTTTCAGCTGCTTTCTGTCCTGAAAGCACCGCCCCTGGTGGTGGGCTCCTTTCTGGTTCTGTTCCGTCCTTCAGCGTCCTGTCAGCCGTTTGTGAATCCCGGGGCCTGCCCTGGCAGAGTTGGGGTGCCCCCCCTACTCGTGGTGACCTCAGTGGGACCACCCCAATGCTTTTTGTTTCTCCCACCTTGTTAATAGATTCTTGTGTCTTTTTTCCTCGACCCTAACTAGATCCCACTGTCGTTTATTTGACGTTTCCTTCCCAGAACATCTTCCTTACGTTCTCCTGCCATTCTTCCTGGCCCCCCGGCCCCCCGGCCCCCCAACTCTATTCACTGTTTCCCTGTTACACAGTACAGAGCCAGAATCATACAGTGTTATCATTTTTTATGATGGTGTAAATAATGCCTGATGATTGTACAATAGTCCAGTTACTACATACATGCGTGAAGAAGAGAGTACAAATCACTTCTTATTCCAGATCTGAGGGAATCGTTCTTAGTATTTTTGTATGTCCTTCCAGACTTCTATGTATATAACCATATTGAATTTTTGAAATAACTTTTTTTCCTTTAATGTAAACATTTTTCAAAGTCAGTAGCTTCAAGTGCTCTGCAGCCTCAGATCCTGACCAGGGGTTCATCGCAGAAGCATTTGGTGGTGGTGGTGTGGAGGGGACAGTTCTTCAACACACACATGGCCTGGGTCCACACCTTTCCGGTCTTGTTCCATAGTCATGGGGGGATGCCCAACTGGCTCTTAAAAAAATCTGGATGATTCTGATGCAGCATCGAGAAGTCTCTTGCTGGCTTCAGGGTGGACACCTTCCACCACCTGGGCGTGCCCTGCTTCCGCTCTTCCGCAGGTGGTGTGCTGCCTGTTCCTCCTTTTCTGTTGTTGCAAAAGCTTGTTCACTTACTCAATTATATCTTCAAGTGGAGTCTCAAAAAGAATGTGTATTTGTAAGCTTTTTGATTCACGTCTCCAAGTTGCTTGCCATGAGGTTTGGACAGAACTCGCAGTGATGGTGTGTCCATCTCTGCAGACCCCATGGACACCAACTTTGCTGTGTGCCAGACCGAATGGGAAGAATGTCAGAGGCTTTTTATGTTGTATTTCTTTGTGTCATTTACTTTGGGGGACATTTGTAGCTCTTTTGTGAACTGCTACTCAATCCTTTGCTTATGTTTTTGTTGGGCTACTTTTTGTTTTCTTATTGGCTATCAGAGAACTTTCCTTTTTTTTTTTTTTTTTGCATTTGTTCTGCTTAACAGAGAACTTTCCGTAGCAAACCAGTAAGGCTTGTCTGGCACTGCAGAGTGCCGTGGCATCTTGGGTGCCCTCAGTGCTTCCACCTCCACAGACGCCCTCAAGTCCTGGTCTTCTCCGAACCCTCCAGTGACTGTGTCCCAGGCCCTGTGTCCTGCTCCCTGCCCTGTGTGCAGGGTCCTCTGGCTGCCTCGGAACCCTCGGGGCTCCCACAGATTGATTGCCCGGTTGCCCACTGCTGGCCTGTGGTGGTCTGGACTGTCGTGGTTGGTGTATGTTCATGTTTCCTTGACACCCAGCCCAGAACCCCTCTTGCCCCAACACCTTCCTTGACTTCTGCCAGAGTTGAGTAGCTGGCCCTCTGATAAGCGCATGCTAGTGGATGTGGACGTGGTCATGCCTGGCACGCTGGATCTGCCCCATCACTGCCGTCTTCTGCTGGTTGTGCAGATGATGGGAGTTTCCTTCTCTGGGCGCCCTGTCTGTCCTCAGTGCTGGTGGGTGTGTGGCAGGGACTCCATACATGCTCTCAGAGCCAGGCTAGCCTTGCAGGGCTCGGCTCAGTCAGCTCACACCTGCTGAGCAGCCCCCGTGTACCTGCACTGCCCAGCGCCTGTGGGGAGGGAATGCCATCCTCTCGTGACTTTGACACTGACTACCAGTCTTATCTGATTGCAGTTGGGCCGGTGCACAAACAGCGTGGTCAAGTATGAGCTGATGCGTCCATCCAACAAGGCCCCGCTCCTTGTGCTGTGTGAAGACCACCGGGGCCGCATGGTGAAGCACCAGTGCTGTCCCGGCTGTGGCTACTTCTGCACAGCGGTAAGAGCGCAGCCTGGCAGCCTCTGTGTCCTCCGCAAGACTCCTGTTTGGTCACTGATGCTGGTTTCTGTCCTGTGCACCTGCTGTCGGGTGGTCCAGCGGCATGGCCCAGATCTGGTGTCCATCTGGAGGTCTTCAGTGTGTCACAAACCCCTGCTCTCAAGCCCCAGAGCCTTAGACACCGTCACCCACAATCGCCACTTCACTCCTCCGGCCTGGAAGCTGCTTTTGGAGATGACTAGGACGGTGTGACCTGGGCTTCTGAGGGTGTCTGAGGCAGCGGGGCTCAAGAGTGGTGGTGAGGGGCTTGTGACCACTGGAGACTCCAGATGGAGGCTGTACTGAGGACACTCAACGCCCGTGATGAGGCTGTACTGACACTCACGCCCATGACGAAGCTGTACTGAGGACACTCACCCCCATGACGAGGCTGTACTGAGGACACTCACCCCCATGACGAGGCTGTACTGAGGACACTCACGCCCATGACGAGGCTGTACTGACACTCACCCCCATGACGAGGCTGCACTGAGGACACTCACGTCCATGACGAGGCTGCACTGACACCCCCATGACGAGGCTGCACTGAGGACACACCCCCATGACAAGGCTGTACTGAGGACACTCACCCCCGTGACGAGGCTGTACTGACAATCACCCCCATGATGAGGCTGTACCGAAGACACTCACCCCCATGACGAGGCTGTACTGAGGACACTCACCCCCATGACGAGGCTGTACTGACACTCACGCCCATGACGAGGCTGTACTGACACTCACCCCATGACGAGGCTGTACTGAAGACACTCACCCCCATGACGAGGCTGTACTGAGGACACTCACGTCCATGACGAGGCTATACTGAGGACACTCACCCCCATGATGAGGCTGTACTGAGGACACTCACGTCCATGACGAGGCTGTACTGAGGACACTCACCCCCATGACGAGGCTGCACTGAGGACACTCACCCCCCATGACTCTAGGCAGCTCCTGGGAGAGGCGTCACCACCCCTGCTGTGCCCTGGGCTGTTTCTGCTGGGATCTTGGGTCATCCGTTACTTCTTTGTCAAACATCTGTGCTCAGCCGTGCCCAGGGCCCCCCGAGAATGGGCTGCTTCCCTGTGGAGCTCCCCTGTATGGGCATCCTCATGCAGGTGGTGGGGTGTGTGTGTGTGTGTGCGCGCGCGGGCGTCTGCCTGTGAGCATCGGTGTGCACCTGCGTGTGGAGTGTTTGGGTGTGAGCCTCAGGTGCCCAGAGATGCCCTGCTGCCCCTTTGTGAACCTGGACCAAGAGCTTCCACTTTTGGAGCTTTTCTTTGGACTCACAGCTTGTATGTCCTCCCCGCCTTCAGATGGACATCCTTTTCTTGCTTCTGCTGCATCAGTTTATCTCTGGCTTTCCGCAAGAAAATGCCTTTCTTATGGCTTTATGCCCCCTTGAGGCTCACCCGTATCACTCAACCACATCTGCTGAGCAGTGCTGGGCACGGGGCAGCCCCACCTGCCTGATTCTCTGTCCGGAGGTTCTGTTGTCCAGCTTCATCCTTATTCGCCCTTCAGGGTAGGGGCCTTCTGGGTCCTTCTTTAGGCCTTCTCTTTGTGGGCAGCCTCAGCTTTCCTGGGCCTCAGTGGGATGGAGGCAGCCAAGTGACCTCTCTCCAGCTTCAGCTTCCTCTCTGTGGGGTGAGAGCACCTCGGGAAGCATTGTTCCTCCTTAACAATGCCTGCTGCCCAGACTGGACCTCACTCTAACCCACGCTCAGTCTCCAGACTGGACCGGACCCCACCCTGACCTACAGCTCACTCTGCAGACCAGACTGGACCCCACCCTCACCCCTGGCTCACTCTCCAGACCACCCAGCGGGGATGCAGTGCCAGTTTAGTAGTGCTTTATTTTTCTAAATATTAGCCCCAATTAAAAAAACTTTTTTGTCCTCCCATTTTTAGGGTAATTTTATGGAGTGTCAGCCCGAGAGCAGCATCTCTCACCGTTTCCACAAAGACTGTGCCTCTCGAGTCAACAATGCCAGCTATTGTCCCCACTGTGGGGAGGAGAGCTCCAAGGCCAAAGAGGTGACGATAGCTAAAGCAGACACCACCTCGACGGTGACACCAGTCCCCGGGCAGGAGAAGGGCTCAGCCCTGGAGGGCAGGGCCGACACCACCACGGGCAGGTACCTGACACGGGCTCTGGCTGGGGTCTCCAGCTGTGCACCGGAAAAGGTGTTGGTTGTTAATTTAACATGATTGCTTTCTGCTGTTTTTTCCGGAAGTCTCTGAGCTGCCCCTGATGCTCTTGGTGATTTCTGACGTTTAAGACTCAGAAATCACATGTTGCCATGTGCACATAGGCCTCTTGTCTTTCAGTTGGTTATTAGGTCCCTTTGCCGGTACTGAGCCGGTTTTCACAGCACCCCGTTGATGTAGCTCTGTCGTGTTTCTGTTGCTGGCACAGTCCCGTCGGTACACAAGCCCTGAAGGAGTGGTAGCTGCCGAAGTCTGTGACTGAGTTATGTGGCATTAAGCTTTGAAGGCCTTAGCTGAAGACAAAAAGTCTAAAATAATTAGAGGTATTCATATTAGACACAAATAATTGTCTTCCTGGAAGAGTCCAGTAGAAACAGCCAAAAGAGTTTTAGAGCTCAAAAGAGTCGTACTCAAAAGAGTAAGAGGATCAGATAAGAAGAGAGAGAAGTCACTGGCCTTCTTCCTTCCAGCAGTACCCTACTCGAAAATAAAATAACGAAAGAGATGTTTTCAAAACAACAATAAAACCTGTTATTGCCTAGCAGAAGAAAAGGACTTAAATGTGACACTTATATAAAGAAAACTAACACTTCATTGAAGATTATTTAAAAGAGACTCAAATTGTGGGCATGTTAAGGTGATTCCTTCCTATTAACCTGTAAATTTAATGCACTTTGAATCAAAATTCCAGTGGGATTTCCTTTTGTTGGGGTGGGCAATAGATACAGCTTGAAGCTGAATTCACGGATTCAGCTTGAAGTTCATTCGTGAGAGGGTATCTGAACATGTGGCCCAGAAGTCTAGGAGAATTGCCTGTGTTTTCTCAGGAAATTTGGTACTGAGTCCTGAACCGTTTAATCCAGGGACTAAGTAGACAGTAAGCAGATCTGAAGCTCACCTGGAGAAACAGCACACTTGGGCAGCCAGAGCCAGTCACGTCTCATGCTTTCTATAAAACGTTTCCCCAATTTCCTCCCCTGAAGTGCGGCTGGACCACAACTCTCAGAGGATGACAAGCTTCAGGGCCCCGCCTCCCACGCGCCCGAGGGCTTCGATCCGTCGGGACCTGCCGGACTCGGGAGGCCGACCCCCGGCCTTTCCCAGGGACCAGGGAAGGAGACCTTGGAGAGCGCTCTCATCGCTCTCGACTCGGAGAAGTAAGAACTGACGTGTGATTTCAGGGACGGCTCAGGGCCTGCTCTCATCTGCACCCCCTATTTTTCCCTGTGGCGTCACTTAGCACTCTTCAGCTTTTTGATTAATGCTGTTCATTAGACTAATTCGTGTATTTTCACACTATTTTGGGAAATTATTGCCAATTATTGTCCTCTGCGTTATACTAAGAGCAACATGTGACACCTTTGAAGTCCTGAGTGAGGAGGCGGTCCCGATGGGCTTTACAGTCATTTCCCGAGGTCCTGAGTGAGGAGGCAGTCCCGGTGGGCTTTACAGTCATATCCCTAGGTCCTGAGTGAGGACATGGCCCTGGTGGGCTTTACAGTCATATCCCGAGGTCCTGAGTGAGGATATGGTCCTGGTGGGCTTTACAGTCATTTCCCGAGGTCCTGAGTGAGGAGGCGGTCCCGGTGGGCTTTACAGTCCTATCCCGAGGTCCTGAGTGAGGACATGGTCCTGGTGGGCTTTACAGTCATTTCTTGAGGTCCTGAGTGAGGAGGTGGTCCTGGTGGGCTTTACAGTCAGATCCCGAGGTCTTGAGAGAGGAGGTGGTCCTGGTGGGCTTTACAGACATCTCCCAGCTGCTGCTGGCCCTGAGCTGCCCTTAGCTCCTCAGAGCAGAAACTGCTGCTGCCGCCCTGGCCAACTCCCTCCCGGCCCCGCCCCATCTGTGCAGTACAAGGGCTGGGCTGAGGGACCCTCTAGGCTCCCTGATGCTCACCAAACCCACGCCTCTCATCCTCTCTTCTCTTGGCGTTGTCCCCGCTAGGGAGGCCGACCAGACTGTGGCACTGAGGCTTGCAGGTGGCCTCCTCCCTGGAGCTCTCCCCTGTCTGCCTCCAGCCTCACCTCCGAGCCTGTACCTGTGAGGACGCTGCCGTCTACTGAAGCCCACGTGCCCTGCCCACTGCCCAGACCCCAGACTGTTCTGAGCCCTGCTTTCTTCCCCATCCCTTGGTTATTGTGTTAGTCTGCTTTTGTGTCACTGTAAAGAAATACCCAAGTCTGGATAATTTATAAAGAAACGAGGTTTAATTGGCTTACGGTTCTCCAGACTGTACAGGAAGCATGGCATTGGCATCTGTTCCATCGGAGGCCTCAGGAAACTACAGTCATGGTGGAAGACAAAGTGTGAGCTGTAGCGGGAGACAGAGACGGGGGAGGCTCCCAGACTCTTAAGCAACCAGATCTTGTGGGAACTGACTGAGCCGGAAGTCACACATCACCAGGGGGATGCCACTAAGCCCTTCATGAGGGATCGCCCCCAGGGTCCAGTCACCTCCCACCAGGTCTCACCTCCAACACTGGAGGTCACATTTCAACATGAGATTTGAGAGGGACACAGGTCCAGACTGTGTCAGTGATCAGCTTAGTCATCAAGTTAAGGTTTCAAAGCGAAAGTGCTGGTGTTCCCAGCTCTCACTGCCCCAGGCATCTTCTGTCGTGTGAGCTGTGCCCCCACCGGCGACCACGCTATGTGGGCTCATCCTGGCTGGGGCTGGTCTTGGCTGTGCTGAGTGTAGACGACCCCGCCCCCCTGCATCCTGTGCTGGTTCTTCCGTTGTGTTGTTTAAAAGCCTCACAGTGCGTAGCGTTCTTCTGCAGTGACTGGGAGCGCAGTGGCTTGTTCTGCACTTTTTACTGTGAGATATCTCAAGACTGGTGGGTTCAGTGCACTTGAGCTTGAGGGTTGGTGGGCAGTTGTCCCCCAGCCCTTCCAGCCTCTAGCTTCATGCATGGGACATGAAGCCCCATGCTGACTGTTGTCCTGTTCTTCCCACAGACCCAAGAAGCTTCGCTTCCACCCAAAGCAGCTGTACTTCTCTGCCAGGCAAGGGGAGCTTCAGAAGGTGCTCCTCATGCTGGGTAAGTGCCTTCCTGCTGCCTGGGGCACTGAAAGGAGCCGAGAGCAGTTGTTCCCCTTCCTCAAAGGCCGCTCTCGTGTTGCTTTTCTGCTGCTGAGTCTCTGATGAGTGAGAATAGGTTGGCCACTGGTGTTTAGCTTTTTTATGGTGCTAACGTTCAGTTATGCAGGATATTAGAACTATTCTCTATGACTTTCTAATTTTTAAAAAGGAATTAGGTATGCATTATTAAATCAAGCAGAAATGTGGATTGAGGAAAAGCGAAATCAGTGAGTTGGGGCCCTGCTGAGATGTGTTGTGATGACGGCAGCGGCAGTGTTTGATAATAAGCAGACGTATTGCTTTAGATTTCTAGTGCCTAAAAGCATGCTTGTTAGAGCCTTCCCGGTGATAATTTCATCCTGAGCTCATAGAGCTCTAGGCTTGATTTCTCCGATGTTCATCTTCTCTGGGTTGAAAAGGTTAAGAAGCCCTTGACCTGACAGTACATCATAAAAGATGTTAAACTGTTTGCTCTCAAGAAAAGGTTTATTTGGCCAGGTGTGGTGGCTCACACCTATAATCCCAGTACTTTGGGAGGCTGAGGTGGATGGATTACAAGGTCAGGTGATGGAGACCTTCCTGGCCAACACAGTGAAAGCCTATCTCTACTAAAATACGAAAAATTAGCTGGGCCTGGTGGCACGCGCCTGTAATCCCAGCTACTTGGGAGGCTGAGGCAGGGGAATCGCTTGAACCTGGGAGGCAGAGGTGGCACTGAGCCGAGATCATGCCCCTGCACTCCAGACTGGCGACAGAGCAAGACTGCATCTCAAAAAAAAAAAAAGGGTGTTTGTTTATGTGGACCAAAATGGCAGCTTTAATCACTTTTTTCATAGACTTTACCCGACACTGAAGCCACCTCCCTGCCCCACGGCTCCCTGTGCACTCAGACCTCCCAGGAACTGACCGGTGTCCAGGCCTCTGCGCCTGGTCTGGCTTGCTCCTCCAGGGTGTGTCTGCCCTGGCCAGCCCCGTCTCAGGGCCTGGAGCGACTGCCAGGCTGCTGGGATCACAGAAAGAGCCTGAGTTAGAGCAGGGCGGTAAAGGGAAGCACATGCACTGCTGCATGAGTTCTGACAGAGGGACCTGCCCGTCAGGTTCTGCAGGAGACTGGCACACTTCCTCTGAAGTCCTCCTGGCAGGACGAGCCAGAGCACGGTGCCGTGGCGGGTTCCGGTGTGGCTGGAGGTGGCTCTTTGTGTGGAAGCTGCTTGTTTGTGAGAGCACTTGCCAGCCTTGGTGCCTGTCCTGAGCTGGCGTCTGTGGCTACATCTGAAATGATTAATAAAACTGTGTTTGTTCACAGTGGACGGAATTGACCCCAACTTCAAAATGGAGCACCAGAATAAGCGTTCCCCACTGCACGCTGCGGCGGAGGCCGGACACGTGGACATCTGCCACATGCTGGTTCAGGTTCGGCGGGCACGGCGCCCTCCTGAGGCCCTTCACCTGCTCCCTTTCATTGCTATCACTGTGAAATAAGACCACATTCGTGGTTCTTCCGGTTTAAACGTTACTTGGAATCAGCCTTTCTGCCCCCAGTCCTGCAAGCACGTCAGTGCTTCCCGCCGCTTCCTCCTGCGTGTACCGCGGCCTCTGACAAGAGCATGCTGCCTCTTGGCTGTTCCTTGATTTGCTTTCTCTGGCTATGGTTCCTGTTACTCATGACTCCATCCTGGGGAGGCGAGCACTACGCATGGACGCCCTTTGTGTGTAAATCGGACCGCGTGAGCAGTGTTACGCTGCCGTGTAGTCTGCAGGGCCATGCTGTGTCTCTAGTCACTGTCTTGGGTTTCGGTGGCTCGAGTTAACTCTGCCTCCTGCTGATTTATTCCAGACCCTCTGCACACTGCCCGTGTGTCTCAGTGCTCAGACACATGACGCCACTTCTCCTCCGGGACGTCCCTTCCCTGATCCCGGTGTTGGGGCCCCTGTTTCTCAAATGCCAGGGTTGAGTCTGGTGCAGTTTGTCTTCTGAGCCCTTGGATGTGACCTATTATTTCTGGAAACATTAGGGGCTTTCCTTGAACCCCACTGGGCTGAAGTCGCACCTTGTAGCGTGGGGCCTTTTAGACTCGCCGGAGCGTTTGGTGCCTTTGGTGTGCCCTTTCAGTGCAGAAATCCATGTCTGTCCTGAGAGGATTTCCTGTGTGACTTCCGTGCCTCGGTCCCCTCTACCCGTCTCAGCCCAGGTCCCCTCCTCCCGTCTCAGCCCAGGTCCCCTCTGCCCATCTCAGCCCAGGTCCCCTCTGCCCGTCTCAGCCCAGGTCCCCTCCTCCCGTCTCAGCCCAGGTCCCCTCTGCCCATCTCAGCCCAGGTCCCCTCTGCCCGTCTCAGCCCAGGTCCCCTCTACCCGTCTCAGCCCAGGTCCCCTCCTCCCGTCTCAGCCCAGGTCCCCTCTGCCCATCTCAGCCCAGGTCCCCTCCGCCCGTCTCAGCCCAGGTCCCCTCCGCCCGTCTCAGCCCAGGTCCCCTCCGCCCATCTCAGCCCAGGTCCCCTCTGCCCGTCTCAGCCCAGGTCCCCTCTACCCGTCTCAGCCCAGGTCCCCTCCTCCCGTCTCAGCCCAGGTCCCCTCTGCCCATCTCAGCCCAGGTCCCCTCCGCCCGTCTCAGCCCAGGTCCCCTCCGCCCGTCTCAGCCCAGGTCCCCTCCGCCCGTCTCAGCCCAGGTCCCCTCCTCCCGTCTCAGCCCAGGTCCCCTCTTCCCGTCTCAGCCCAGGTCCCCTCCGCCCGTCTCAGCCCAGGTCCCCTCCTCCCGTCTCAGCCCAGGTCCCCTCTGCCCGTCTCAGCCCAGGTCCCCTCCTCCCGTCTCAGCCCAGGTCCCCTCTTCCCGTCTCAGCCCAGGTCCCCTCCGCCCGTCTCAGCCCAGGTCCCCTCCTCCCGTCTCAGCCCAGGTCCCCTCTGCCCGTCTCAGCCCAGGTCCCCTCCTCCCGTCTCAGCCCAGGTCCCCTCTTCCCGTCTCAGCCCAGGTCCCCTCTGCCCGTCTCAGCCCAGGTCCCCTCCGCCCGTCTCAGCCCAGGTCCCCTCCGCCCGTCTCAGCCCAGGTCCCCTCCTCCCGTCTCAGCCCAGGTCCCCTCCTCCCGTCTCAGCCCAGGTCCCCTCCTCCCGTCTCAGCCCAGGTCCCCTCCGCCCGTCTCAGCCCAGGTCCCCTCCGCCCGTCTCAGCCCAGGTCCCCTCCTCCCGTCTCAGCCCAGGTCCCCTCTTCCCGTCTCAGCCCAGGTCCCCTCCGCCCGTCTCAGCCCAGGTCCCCTCCGCCCGTCTCAGCCCAGGTCCCCTCCTCCCGTCTCAGCCCAGGTCCCCTCTTCCCGTCTCAGCCCAGGTCCCCTCCGCCCGTCTCAGCCCAGGTCCCCTCTTCCCGTCTCAGCCCAGGTCCCCTCTGCCCGTCTCAGCCCAGGTCCCCTCTGCCCGTCTCAGCCCAGGTCCCCTCCTCCCGTCTCAGCCCAGGTCCCCTCCTCCCGTCTCAGCCCAGGTCCCCTCCTCCCGTCTCAGCCCAGGTCCCCTCTGCCCGTCTCAGCTTTGTCCTCCTGGGACTCTCATAATTCAGGCGTGGGACCTTCAGGCCAATTCCTGCTGTGTTCTGCTCTACCTTCTAGGCAGCATTCTCAACATGAGCCTCCAGCTAGCTCCTCGGGGATTTTTAATGTGTGTGGTCACATTTTTAAATCCCAAGAATTCCTTTCTGCTCTCGGATAGTTCCTTTTCTCTGAAGATACTATGGTTTTTCTGAAGTTTTATGCTGCTCTGTTTTAGTTTTCCTTCTCTAAAGTTTTCCTCAAATGTCCATGTCTCTTTAGAGTCAAACTACTAAACGCTGCTGGTAGCTCCTGCTTGTCGGGGGCTGGTCACTGCAGGGTGATCTCCAGGCCTTGCTGTTTTGTTGGGGCCCCCAGACACCACTGTCTGGGAAGGGCCTGTCCCCTCGGACTGCACCCATCTCTACCTTTCTTAGGGCCGAGAAGGAGAGAGCGATGGCGCACCATCTATTGCGCTCACACCTACCCGCGCTCCCACTCCCTGGACCGGGAACTGATGATATAACAAAGTCGTAACTTTGTTACTATTTGCCTGGAATGATTTTTCCCTCCTTTTAGTCTGACTTTTTTCCCTCCTTTTCGGGTATATGTATTTTAAACACAGAACTTGACTTTTTATAAATTTGGTTTAACAATTTTGGTATTTTAATAGGAACTTTGAGTCCTGCTCTTATGTATGTCTAATGTCTTATAGTTTTAATTTCTAGCTGTTTTTGTCCATTTTTTCTTGCTGTAACAGAATACTTGAGGCCAGATCATATATAAAGAAAATAAATTTATTTCTCACAGTTTTGGAGGCTGGGAAACCCAAGGTCAAGGGGCTGCCTCTGGAGACTTCTGGGGAGTCCGCGTGCTGTGCCCGGACACAGCTGGGAAGCGCAGAGAGGGAGAGTCCCCAGCGCAGACTCTTGCTGCGGACCAGGAGGCCCACGTGGGAACAGGGGAGCAGGTCCGTTCTTGGGGGACCTGACTCCGTCTTTGAGAAAGGCGTGGCTCCATCCTCGGAGCCTCGTTACTTCTTAAAGGCCCGGCCTCCCAGCCTCACTGGGGCCCCTGGTCCCAATAAACAAATTGCATTCAGGCCGTAGTGCCAGTCTTTTGAAGCCAGTGTTATTTTACTCTTTCTTCTTGCTCCTTTGGATTGATTTTTGTCTCAATTGTGCCATCTCTCATCTCTCTGTGTTAGTTCTGAAGTTAAAAGCTTTCCACTTGTGGAAAGACCCCAGTGGTTCCTCTCAGTCCCACATACAGGCTTTTCTTCCCAAGGTCAGGACTGAATGAGATGATGATGGGGTGCCAAGCCCCGGCAGAGGGCGAGGCAGGGAGCAGCTGAGGTGACCTGGGGTCCAGGAAGCCAGAGATTGGGGGCCGTGTGGGGCTCCGGGAGGCTGAGAAGAAACTGTACCGTGAGAAGGGCTGAGCCGAGGTGGGCACTGGGGGCCACCTCCATGCAGGAGGAGCTGTGGAGGCTGCCGGTGTGTCAGGGAGAAGCAGAAAATGATTCAGAGACAGTGGGTGGGGGCTCAAGACGACTCACGTGGGCTGCAGTTCTTGGTGAGACCCTGATGGAAGTGGCCGACCTTGTGGGAACAGGCTACTGGGAGTGGATGAGATGAGGTCAGGGCAGCCGGGGGTGGGGAGTGGGGGGTGGTTGTCCAGACACAGAGGCAGAGCTGGAGCGAGAGGTGGGCTGTTCAGGGCGGAAGTGATGCCAGGATGTTCATGGGTGGGGCTGTGAGGAGGAGGAAGAAGAGAGTGCAGTCTGGAAGAGGCAGGAGCTGGTGGTGTGGGGCATGAGAGCAGATGCCGACAGAGGGCCAGGCATTCGGCCGGAGGCCCTCTGCCTCCCTGGGCCTTGTGAAGGCTGTGGCATGATTCTGTTTCTGTTGTGGACGGACCTGGACAGGAACAAGTATGCAGAGCCACGTCGGGGGCAGGCCCAGACAGGAACAAGGGCTGTCCGAGTGCTGCCCCAGGGGCCCCAGGAACTGGGCCAGGCCATGAATGTGTGCCATGCTGAGCTCCTGAGGGTGGGCTGTGCGGAGCCTGTTCTCCATGCTCACTGCTGGCCGTGGAGGCTTCTTGAAGCTGTTCCTCCTGGGCCTGGAATTCCAGGTTGCTGGTGGTTTTCCTCAGGTGGTGTAAGGAGTGATGTCTTCTTATTTCCATTCTTCCTTTTGAGAAATGAGCTTGGCACTCCTTTGAAAGAGACTGTGTTCCTTTTTGGCTTTCTTATTTAAACATTAAAATTTTAAAAAATATATGGTTGCATTGTGCATACGGAAAAGTCCTTAAAATATGAACATCTGGTTAACAAATCATTATCTTGTGGCCCTGGCATTTGGGGCCATGAGATGAAGCGTTGCTCCCCAGACACCTGGATGCCCCCCCAGGAGCAGCAGCCATGTGGGTCTCACCGCCCTGCCAGTGCCCTTGGGCATTATGGTTGTTCACTTTTGACCTTTACGCTAATTGAGTCGTACAGCAGGAGTTCCTTTGTGTCTGCTGCATTGGTCAGGAAAACAAGGAAGTGCAGGACCGGGAAGTGGCCGGGGGCTGAGTTCCCGAGCACTGCCGGGCTCCCGGTGACTGCCCAGCTCTGCTTGTCTGAAGCCTCGTCTTTGGGGAGGCTGAGTGAGGGGAGCACAAAAGCTCTTTGTGAAGTACAGTGCTGTGTTTGGGCATAGGAAATGGTTATGTCCCTTGCTGCTGCTGTGTGCCCAGTGCCCAGGGGTCTGACCAGGTCAGAACCACTTCAGATTAAATTCCTAGCCTGAGTTTAATTTGCTGACCTGGCCTGCAGAACTTACTGTTTCTGGTCTTAGAGGGTTTCAATTTTTCCTTCCTCTTAGAATCTAAGCAGTTTTCCTGAGATTCTCCAG